TGTCTTGTTGAAACGTTAAAACTGCACCGATCTCCGTTGCTCGAATTATATATACCGAACTGTGCGAAATTTCCACCTTTTTATTTTCTCACCTCTTCGCTGACATTGGCTGAAAATTTGGTTTGTAAGTAGTATAAGCAAAATAAATGGTATAACTGTTTGATTACCGTGACAGTGATTAATTGCATAGTGAAACGAGAAGGTGGATAACTGCGATCGCATCACAGTGGTCAGAGTTAACCAAAAAAAACACGACGTTTTCACATAACTGTTCTCCTTTTTCTTGAAAAGTTTCAGAGTGAGATTTTGAGCGAACCACTACACACTCATGGTCNTACACAGTGGCAGAGTTAACCAAAAAAAACACTACGTTTTCACATAACTGTTCTCCTTTTTCTTGAAAAGTTTCAGAGTGAGATTTTGAGCGAACCACTACACACTCATGGTCGGTCCAACTACTGAGTTTGCTAAGTGTTTCTCTGTTATGCACTTCCTTCTCTGGACTGAATTTGTGTACTGAAGGTCTAAGGTGGCTCCTGTGTGAAACACACCCAGCTTTTTGAACGCACCACGTCTAATTTCGGCAAACGGTTGTAGCAGTATTGAGAGTGGATTTCAGACGACTTTGGAGTCGTTCAGTTCATTCTCCCTTCTTTCTTCTCTCCACGCTTTAAAAAACGCCCTAATTGGGCTCCTTAAACCATCATCATATTCTTCGGAAAACTCTGGATTACCGTTCTTTCTGCCCATTTGTACCAGTTCCCCAGAAACCCCCCGCTTGACGTCCCATGGATGTTACATGGTCTCACGTCAGAGGGGACTTCTGCATTTTACGTCAGATTAAACACGGATACGCCCATATTGAGGATAGAATCAGGGTAATAGTCATTAGATTCAGGAAACAGCTTCATCAAAGCTTGACATTTTTACCGAAATCTGTCCCGACACCTGTGTGGTTGTCTCACCAGTCACATTCTTGGTGTAGTTGTCGAATAACACGACTGTGTGACGAAAGTGACCGGCACGTGTACTGACAATCACTAAATGAAACCAGAAAAAGTTGGTTGTAGTCGCTGTAGGAGCCCTAGGGGCCGTGAAATCGACCGCTGCAGTAGATATGAAAGCGGTCTTCAACAGAACCAGAGTTCCATGACAGATGGATACGGAAACCGGGGTCTAGAAATATATTTAGTCTTCGCATAAAGAGGGCTTTGAAATGAAGCGCGCTTTACTCAGGTCACCCCGAGAAGTTGCTTTACTCCAGTCTGCAATCTTCAAAGTCGATGCTTGCATGATTTTGTACTCTTTTTTTCGAGTAATGGGTCCGCCTTTTGCTAGGACGTTTCGTGAGCTGCTCCAAATCGTAGTGGTGACTGCAAATGATCTGAATGTGCGGGCTTGAAGCTGAGATTTCAGGGTTGTTCACCATCCCTTGGTTCGTTCAAAGCGTCACAAGTGTTATGGGTAGATTTAGCCAACGAAACAAACACCCGAACATTCCGCGGTGTTTGTTCCTGGAGAAAGAAAGTGGGCGAGGAGGAAGTGCACAAAATACTCGTCGTTTAGAATGGCCTTTCAACAATACGAGCCCCTTGCTGTTTCTGTGAATTATCAGGAATGGCAGCTGGTCGCTACAAACGAGGTCTGCACTTTATCAGACGTCAATATTCGATTGTTAATACCCGAGCAACAAAGCACTGCGGGTTTGTGACCTTTACTGTTATGCCGGCGGTGTCAGGTGATTGGGTAAGTTTGGGATAACTTACTCGCAGTGGACCGGACACTGAGAGATACAAATGAAAACCATCAGGAAACTTAAAAGTTACACTGGGCACCATTTATTCTGTACAGAAAGTCAAAGTGTCAGGATGGCTCTTCATCGAACTGAAAATTTTCATGGCCCAAATACGCGCGGATCAATATGGTTGAAATTGATAATGCATTTCGTTGGGCGCGGGGCTTCCAAGAAAAACTTAGTTTACAGTAAAAATTTGGATGTGTAAGGGCGGAAGACAGAAATTTAGCCATGCGAAAGGGTCTGGTTGACAAATGGATTACTCTTCTTCAACACTGGGTGCAATAGTACCATAGCAATAGCAAATGGTTCATTTGGGTACATCGTGAGAGAAATGAGTCGTCAGGTATATTCCTCGGTTTCGTTCTAGGGTACTTCAACAAACGAAAGAGTAAATTGGTGAATTTGAAGCTAATAGCCTCTTAGCTGCAAAGGGCGAGATGGCCCAAGTGGTTAGAGCGTGAATTTACTGATCGAAAGCTCCGTGGTTCGCACCCGACATTTGCGTCTCTCGTCTTCCCCTGTCTAGGCTTGGACAACCTGGCAGTATTCCAGCCCTAGTGCTTCCTTCGGGTGGCATGGGAGCTAGGCACCGAAAAGATGCTACAGCTAAACAGCTTAGCTGCAAACGAAAGTCGCAATGCTCAGACCTCATCTGCGTCGCCGCACAATACACCGTATGGTGAACAAACCGTTCTTATTTTCACACAGATTGGACAAATTTCAAATTAGTTGCAGCACATACATTTGAATCAGACCATTATAAACCGGAGATTCAGCTGGATTTCTGTTTTTCGTCAAAACTAAATTCATATGCAAGTAAAATCTGTCCATTTCGGATGGAATTATAAGGTGTTGTTGCTGTTGGAATCTTGTGGACTGAGTCTATCTGCTGATCCCGAATGGGAAGGAATTTCAGCAACCTTATGAGTAGTGTGTTGCGCTTAGATGACCCTTCACAGTGTGCATTTTGAGCAACCAAATGGTCTTTCTTTAGTTTTTCTGGCAAGCAAGAGCACATGTGAACTCTCAATCGATTTACCGAGAAGAATTTTTGGTGAGGGTTGGTGAAACGGCCATGCGATCCCTGAACTTCCGTTTTGTTTAGCCTAACCATTACCTTGTTAAATAGCGCGCCAGGACGAATCGTTTGAGATGAGGGAAGTCCCCTTTCTGAAGAATATTTATCAACTTATTTTTCGATCGAACACCATGAGGCCCAGTATCAATGGCAAATGTGTTTTTCTCAGCGCCTAAATTTCTTGCTCATCGGGGAGATGGTATTATTTTTGGTTCACATCAAGTATTTTAGTGCAAAAGCACTTGGTGAGGTCGTTTCTGTATGGCATTTCAAGCGCGTGTGCTCATCCCGTTTATGTATTCTGATCTGTGTCAAGCGAGCCATATTCATAAATTTCATACGGACAGTGAAGCCATAACGCTTTATTCGAGCAGAGCTGTTGATTGATGACACAATAACTGAAAACGTACTTCTGCGGCCCTAAAAAGTTAACATGTAGCAAGACAAAAAATTTAGACTTTCGAAGAAATTCTCACTTTCCGAAAACAACACGAGATTGCTGAGTAGTCACGGGGCAAACGTACTGACCAAATGGTTTGTGGTTCGAACCCAATCCGGGCATCTTTAGATTTATTGCATAGGCTTTGTCAACCTGACAGCATCTCAGCCATTGTGATCCCTACATGAGGCATGATAGCCGAGCCAAGAAAGGGTTTTGCACGTGAATAAAAACGTAATCAGTAAGCAAAAATCGCTTACTGCCGCAGGTGTATATTCTTCATTTGAATCGGATTGAGTCATCCTCGACAAAAGGGTGCCTAGGAACCAAAGTGGACCAATAAAACTCCGCGCAATTCTGTTAAATATTCTGCCAAATTTTTAAAAACGCTGTGACCGAAATCCAGTACAGAATGCAGTAAATACCCACTCCTTCTATTAAAGAGAATGTTGATTTGTCCAAGTTTGGCGTTATGTCATCCTGTTTTGAACTGACCATGTGAAGAAGATGAATATGGGTCACCAAGTGACATTTAATCAACTTGGAACGGGACAAAATAATCGACACGAAGCGAGAATCAATAACATTGAATCCAGCAGGAATAAGCAAAGCGCATGTGTGCACCAGTTACCGCAGGATTCTNTGAATCCAGCAGGATTAAGCAAAGCGCATTTGTGCACCAGTTTACCGCAGGTTCTGAGCATAGCACTTCCGCCGATATCAAGTTCGGAATTTGTCTTCCATGGTCACTTCCATGGTTAGGACAACCAAGGTGATTCTTGACCTAAAGCCGAGATAGACTTACTTTTGAATTTGTGGGATCAACGAATGTTTCGCTTATGCCGGGTTTAAGCACATGATTGATTGATTGATTGAGGCAAAATATCAACGAATGAACTAATTCGGCTCTCTAAGATCGGGAAGCTGAACTCAAGTCCGACCCTCAAAGCCCCAGCTTTAGAAGGCTGTCTCACTTTGAATGCCACCCACGGACCAGGCTGATATGATAGAGTTTATGGGTGTCACACGAACGACCACCAGTGTGGTTCGGTGATCACGGATATTCAGAAACCGTCAGACTACAGTAAGCATAGTTTCAAAAACGCTTTCTTCCTAGCAGTTCCGGTGAAAAACAACTTTGCACTTACGATATAGTGAAGATCCCTTAAATCAGGTTGGAGGGGTTAAAGAAAACTATCAAAAACCGTTGAATTTCAAGGGTAAATGAACAGATAGTATACTAAGCGAAATACATTCACTTGCAAACAAATTTGTTTTTGCGAAAGACTCACCTGGAAGCCAGCCGAATCTCTTGTTTGGCATGTTTCCAGGCTACTGAATGTGTTGACCAGACCGCCTCATGTCAAAGTTGCTACGATATTCAAGATGTTGCGATACATGTATATGCGTAATGTGCTACTCACAAGGTTGCTGAAAATCCCTCGACAGTCAACAACCAGTTTCGACCTACTTGGGTTTCATATCCCTGTTTCCGGCAACCTTATGTTCCACCGAAACCCAAATTGGACTGATTGGGACAGATACACTCATTTGCAAATTAATTTGGTACTCGCGAGAGACTCAACTGAATCTCTCGTTTATGATATTCTACAACTGAATGTGCTGCACACATGCAAGCTCATATTTTAGTTGGCACGATATTTGAGATATCGCAGCATATTTTCATGAAGGAAACTAGTCACAAGGTTTCTGAAAACTCTTCGACAGCCCAAGACCTGCGCAGTCCCCGAGTTTCCGTTAACCAAATTGCACGAAATCAGCGAACTACACTCAATTGGAAACAAATTTGGTTCTGCAGCTCATAGGAACGAAAATCTAATATAATCTGAACAGTGGCGCGATGCAGATACCAAAACTAAGTAACTAGACCGATCTCAAACCTAATACAACGCAAACTATCGTTGACTTGCTTCATGCAAGCATCGACTATGCATATTGTGTGGTGGCCTGGCTAAGGATGTGGCATTTAACACGGTTTTTCTTTGGGGAGACTTTTGATTTATGACGTAACATTACTCCGAACTGTGACGCAATGCAGATAACAAAACTAAGTGACTAGACCGATATCAAACCTAATACAGCGCAAACTGTCGTTCAATTGCTTTATGTAAGCATCGACTATGTATATTGAGTAAGGGCGTGGTGGCCTGGCTAAGTATGTGGCATTTAACACGGTTTTTCTTGGGGAAGACTTTTGATTTATGACGTAACATTACTCCTCTGCTCGAGAAATTTACTTCAAGGGTCTTCTGAATTGTAAAAACCCTAGAACATGGAAAGCTAGAAGTGGAAATGCGGGGTATTACAGTAACTTGGTATAGTCTGGTATTATAATCATACGGCCAGCGACTGACGATCGCGTGACCTCAGCTCACCACTCAAGCAGACGCGCTTACTGCAGATGTGTGCGCGTGCACAACAACCATACAAAAGACCAAACACACTCGTCTACGTTGACGAAGGCTGGCCACAGGAACATTTGTCAAAAGTTGGAAAGCAGACCCAAATGGTTTGCCCGTATTCGATAACGAAAATCCCGGGGAAGCTTTACCTACATCGTACAAAATCGTTTTTTTTGCGACTCCCTCCCTCAAGTGAGCCACTTTGATTGCAGTCGGTGCAAAATGTAGGAGTGAAGAATAGTAAAACATATGCAGATAGATGGTACACATACTGATTCGGGCTGCACACGGAGGAAAAGGAGTAGAAGAGTACACAAGAATGGGGCTACTGCATCAATTTCCCACGAATTCGTGCAGTTGCAAAAATTGATGTAGCTTTAATTGCCTAATTACTTCGCTGGCTTACTCATTCATCCTAATTTGGTGTACTGAGTTTATTACGTGTAAAATCTATGTTTACACCAGATGTTAGACATTTGAAGTTCAGGCTAAATCGTTTGAGTAGTTGTCACGTGACGAGGAAGATCGATTGGAAATCTATCGATGATCGCACGTATGACGTAACCTGCTCCATCAGTGAAACTTGAAGAGCTGTCTTCAGACTAGTGTGTGGGAATGTCTCAAGAATTTCATGGAAACGTACGAGTGACTTCAACACGAAGAAACCTCGAAAGTGACTTCCACAATTGTAAAATGCCAAATGGGTGCTGTTGAGTTTCTAAAGAGCTGCTTGCGTGAGTGGAAGTTTCAAACCTTTTCTATGATATGCCTTTTAGAAGCCGCAATGAAGAGTTATGATTTGTCCATTTCAGCGACCAGAACCGTGCGCATTTTCTCTCTGGTTATATTGCTGTGGTAGTTGTCTTAATCAAAACATCTCCGCGACTATGCCCAAAGGAGAACTTTTGGAAGGAAGAAGGACTCAGTTATCGAAGTTCTGTCTAGCGGACGACTTGTTATTAGTGACATTCAGGCATTTGATAGACCGAGTACAGCACAGTTGTTGCTCATGGTCCCTGTTCAGCTGTAATCGTTGTCTACCGATAGTGTAATCCCTATTATTCTGAAAGAAAAAGCCATGTTATCCCACATGTACTCGCACGTTGAGATACACACTTCCACCTTGAACCTGCTGTGCTCAACCGCAGTTTCGAATAGTGGTCACTAACCGCGAATCAACCACAACCGTGGTTGATACGTGCCTTGATAAAAGTGCGTACGAATAGCAGTACTTGCTTCGAAATAACAAGACAAGGTAAAATAGACGACATCAGACGAAATAACCACAGGCATTTAAGGTTTTAGAACGAGGAGTCGTTAGATTACACAGCGGAAGCTGTGAAAAATTTCTGGGACTATCGAAATGTGGCGATTTCGAGATAGCAAATAAAGACGGTACTGACGATTCCTTGGTCCAACACTTTCGGACGGAGAATACCCTTTTTGAATGATTAATTTGAGCCCAATGTTATCATCACCTGTGGTCGAAAAATGAACATGTTTAAATCCACAAAAGTATCACATATTGCCTAGGTTGGTGGATGTATAGAGTGATCGCTAGTTTGTTTCTTGGAAATGAATCCGTTGCTCATTGACCCAATCAAAGGAGAAGAACTGACCGTTCTTTTACAAATTCATGAGAGCTCATCTTACATCACTTCAACCGGGATATTTCAACGTACGACGGCAAAACTATTCTGTCGATACGACGGTTATCATCTTCGCCATCCTCAGCATCATTGATGGTGTCATGTTAGTGGTGACGAGGCCCCTGTTTCCGTCCGAATTCCGTTTGATAATATGCATTTCTCGGGCTCCTTTCATCTTCCTCACCACTGTTTGACTTTTTAAGACGCTTTTATGTACGTGAAGGGTACGACAGTGCATGTTCTTGTGGTTGCTGGCGGAAACCGAAAATCCGCTTTGTAACAATCTGTTGCGCAGTACTGTGTCTTGACTTTAAATGTTTCTTACTGTGCACCACTCAATCTGTTCAACATGACCCAAGCTGCGTTCGGTCCGCAACCTGTCAGCCTTAATCATTATATTTGTACTTGCAAAATTCATGTGTACAATTTCGAAACATTCTATCCTTGTTTTTGGATCGGAAAGGATACAACACAAAATTGGATGAAACTTTTGCGTTACTGAAGCTGTCAGTACAATTCAAGCGTGAAAATAAGTAGCCTGCTTACCTTTGTTGCCATCTCACCTGGAAAATCAATTACTGGTGTCAAACTATGTTACAGTTCCAACCATCGGGGTCACTTCAATCAATTGGATGGCAATTAGTGAGAAACGCAGGCAATACAACTGTAGGTTGGATTGATTGACAAGTGAAAGGGTGAAAAACGTTTGGACTATGACAGTTGACCCTCAAAGTGGTTGCCGTTCGTCCTGAGGCGGTGATTAGTTGTACCTTTTATACTTGGCAATTCACTGAGGCAAGTTTTTTAAGTGCTTTAAACCGTAATCTCGAGCAGCGGTAGAATACTTGGGGGTTGATTATGTTCCCTAATAACTCGCAGAAAACCTGCTTTGCGGTACACAGTTGACCAACTTCTGGAATGTCCTTTTCTCCAAATTTGAGCGTCGATCGTGAAGGGCATGTGCCACTGAGTGGACGTTTCTTTCGTGCCTTTCAGGAGCCAATGATCTGGTGGATACTACTGATGGGGCATGCGAGTAGTATGTTTTCTCATAGATCCGCTTCGCGTTTTTTGAAAAGTGAGATATATTACGGAATTTGTGGAGTCACATTTACTTGCAATTGAGCAACAGTCAATGAATATCCAGGAAAGTTCAGGAAAACGCGTTGAAGGAGGCGATGAATATTTAGTTTTGTAAACAAGTTGCATATGGGGGTTTGGCTTCCCTGTCCAATTACTTGCAATGAGCAACAGTCAATGAATATCCAGGAAAGTTCAGGAAAACGCGTTGAAGGAGGCGATGAATATTTAGTTTTGTAAACAAGTTGCATATGGGGGTTTGGCTTCCCTGTCCAATAGTCCGCAATTGTTCAGTTGGTGTATTCTAACCCATATTCTGCAGGAAAGGCCATCTTCCTTTCAGTGATAGCACTTCGTTGATGAGGTGCCAAAGATGAGTTCTTGAGGGGTATAGTCTCAACAAAAGCCAGACAATTTTGGGGTATCCAGGTTGGTGATTTCGACTCAAGTTCATTTCCGGAACTCGTGTTCAAGCGTATTGCTGGATATATCTGAATGATGCATTGGATTAACTAAACGAGGTTTCCCAGTTACATTTTGGTCGGATACTTCCACGAACGGCGACTCTTTAAATCGTACATGCCCTGAAATAGAATCTGCCTGTCAAATTCAGAATGTGTGCTCTTTGACTTGATAGCCCAATGGTTTGGAAAACGCATGATTTCGAGGGATAGTGATAGGAATGTAGCTGCTTACTTAGAGTGCTTTCAGGGCTGCAGAGCAGGAGAAATTTCCAATTGGAGCTATGTGGTGGCGTGTTTCTTGTGCGCGCGTTTACCAGGCTAATTTATGCTTTCAGCAACTGTCACCGTAGCTGACAAGGTTCAAAATCAAATGATAACTACCCTTAAAAAGTGGCATTTAGTAAAAAACGACTGTTTTCTTAAAAGAACTCTACTGGGATGGGGAGGCTAGCTGAGAAGCTCTTTGTTGACTCTTGGTTTATGACACTTTAGAAATACACCATGTTAGGGGCTTCACGTTCGAAAGCATGTTTAAGACTGCCTGGAGAAAGACGTACAAAGAAACTCTACCAAATACTCAGTTATTTTGAATTTCATTTATTAGAATTCGCTTTTGAGCAGTCACTTCTGTCCTGGCGCACTTATTCTGGAAAGACAAAACCAAAGGAACGAGACACTGGGCCTGAGTTTCCTTCTTATTAAAGGCCATTAGCAGTGAAAACTCAAAGTTTGGACTCCGGACCTCTGACGGGCGTTTCCAGCGCGTCTCTACTCCACAGTGGACGTAATCGGACTGGGATTTATGGATGGGCGATTCAGGCACGATCGATGATCAGGCAACTCACTTTGTTGTTTCTGTCGACTGATTCGGCTCAACAAGGTAGCACCGCTTGAAGTCTTCTGAGCAATTCGTTTCAGGATTTGTTGTTGGGAACGAAGCCATATAAACGTTTGTTCCATATGAGGTTGGGGAGCTTTATAGACAGTCGTTTGGACTTCTAACTGAGACATGAACTGGTAGAGGTCCGTGTTTCGAACCCGACCTCTGCCTCTCGAACACCCCTGTCTAGGAATGGGCAACCTGGCAATATGCCAGCCTTCGTGCTTCCATGGCAGTTAGGCACCGGAAGGGTGTTACAGCTAATGAGACAATCAATATATGGTTGATTTTTTTGTTGCTATCTATATTAATATGTAAAAGATGTGTATGAACGAGATGAGTGTCACCTAAAATCCAATGAGAACAATTCAGCGTTAAATGTTCAGTGTGAATCCCTAGTTCAATCGGTTTGGGACACAGGCGTCTGGGTAAAAAAGTAAAAAAAAACTTGGAGATGTAGCGTTCAACGCATCAAGCTGATGCAAGTTCGACTGATGACAATTTAAATGCGGTAATCGAGTATAAGTTCCCACCGAATCGGTGCTCTGATCAAGTTTTCAGACAGAAATTGAGAAATAAGCAGTGATGTCTCACGAGTTTGGATGAGCAATCATCGTTATACACTGGACTCGAAACTTTGAGCCCTTCAGTAGCTTAACTGGGCAACGAAACGTACAATTTTTCTCGGAATTAGAAACATTAACACACATTTAGCCAGCGTTTTATACAAGTTTCCGCAACGTGCCACTGTCCGAATCACGCAGAATTACCACTTCGAGTCCAAAAGTAATATGGTCTGTTCTTTTGGAATTAAAGTGCGCGTACGCATTTGGTAGCTGCTCTCTGAACTTTACGCAACATGCATACGTCGTATGAATACATATGGAGAAAAGATAAAGCATACATCGAAAAGGTGAGACTGTTCTATCAAATCACTCGAAATATAACACAGTGATATCTAACTCACTTTCTCACCCTGGCCTTTCCTGAAATAAGCGTTGAGTCAAAATCATACCGAAATTTGAGATTCGAGAAGAGGAACGAAAAAAACACTCTTAAAGTTTGTAAAAACTCTTCGGAAAATATAATCAACGAGAGATTTATATCTTTGTGATGTACTACTCATAAGGTTGCTGAAAACTCTTCGACAGTCCACGACCGGTTTCACCCTCTTTGGGGCTCATCAGGTATGCGCAGTCCCCGGGTTTCCGCCAACCTTATGTTCTACTTAAAATCAAATTGCACAAAATAAGCGAATATGCACTCATTTGCAATCTAACTTGTTTTTTTTTCGAGAGACTCACCTGGAACCCGGCTGAATCTCTCGCTTGTGATGTTCTGAGGCAGGTGAGTCTCTCGAAGAAACCAAATTAGTTTGCAAATGAGTGTATATTCGCTAACGAGAGATTTAGTTCCCTTTTAAACCAAATCTGTGTTTGAATAAGATGACTCATTGAATAAATTGCCCATGTGAATTTCATGGATGCCTATGACCATTAAGAGTACTCTCGCACTACATAACTACTCATTTTATTCCCTCTCAGTATCAAAACCCGTGCGTATGCTTATAAAAATGGCGATAGCCCAGCTGCTAAGGTGCAGACTTACTGACCGGAAGGTCCGTGGTTAGAAACCAAGGATGGCATCTCGAGTGCTCTTTATGTAGGCTGGAGTCACCGAGCAAAACCTGAGCCCTTCGGGTGCCGTAGAATCTAGGTACCACTTAATTGTTACAGGTGAAGTAACATTACCATTAATAGATGTTTATTTTCCCGGAGATTCTAGGAATCGAAGCTGCTTATAGAAGAAGATTCACCGGCCCATAATAGGCCCACAATAACGCATCGTCTGTCTGACCATTTGGTATGAAAGATTTAGGTATTGAGCACTCACTTTACCGAATAAATCGCCATAAAAGAACCCCCAACCCAAAACTACTGATGGTAAACTCATGTGATTATCGACTGGTTGCAGCAACCGAAGTTTTCCTGCCCAGCGATCACTCCGCAGTGAGTCGAGTTTTGTTCGATTTGACTGTCTGGCGTTCGAGTTGACCCACTACACAACGGGGTCGAAAAACGACTCCAAGATATTTCGGTTTCTATCGAGCGGCGCACTGGGTAACAGAAAATAAGTTTATGAAGGAATACTTGACGTCAGCACTCAGTAATATGAAGTTCTTGAGAACGCGTAAACTCCTCGTGACGATGAAAATAAACAGGACTATATGGGAGTATATTTTTTGTTACCAGCACTAATAAGTCAATATTGGTTACTGTAGAACAAGGCCTTCCCTCTCAGATATTGGATCATTGGAAATCAGGGAATGAGAGACATTGAATCATCCGAAGTGTTTTGTATGATCGTGGAAAATGTGACTTTACTTACCGGAATAGAGACGCCCATTCGCGGTAACTGTGAGAAGCAGGAAGTTGTACGATTTGACGAATAACTAGGCTGACCCATCTAGGTGGACCCATAGGACAATCCGCTCCGGAAAAACTTACCGTAAAAACGGTCTCCAAATTCTAATCCTACAATGAATGAAACGTCTTGCCGTGAAATGCGTGCCACCAAAAACGCAAAACCTTGATTATTTGTCGTGGTATCTAAAAATATAAGACCCATTTTTCCGGTTCAAAGGTGAGGCTTTACTCAGTGATCACTTACTTAATTCGGCTGAAGAAAACGTTCGACAATATGGGTATCAGAGGTGACATAGGCCTGGAAACACGATTTCATCCTGATTTTACCATACTCCAAACTAAAAATAGTAGTTCGCAGCCACACCACTCTCGTTTGAACGGCCGTCCTCTGTTCCGGCGTAATTGTTCCGGTGAGTCCACACCAAACGGGGGAAGCACTGGACTCGGGTTTCGCTCTCGTTAGAGCTCATCAGCAGTGCATATCCAATGCCCGTGCCGGGATTTGAACCCCGGACGGACATCTGACATGCGAGGCGCGCAGGTAACCACAACTCCACCAACGCACGTTGGACGCATCTGAATTTTCACGTCTGAACAGTCCAACTTGTTCACACATGAGCGATGTGATTGGTGTGCTCGACCCATCGAACGACGATCCAGTAACTGTCCTGGTTGTGAAGATCGATTGACCTGCCAGTCACCACTTCCCAGTCAGGTAGTGTGACACACGCTTGATATATCTGAAACCTGATGATTTAGTGACTTTTTATTGTCCATTGAATGGTCGTTTGTTCGACACTGAGGATTTCAGCTATGGATGTTCTGTGTTTCAAATCTTCATGGATAGGTCTTTCAGGGTCCGCAGTAAGAAGCAACTGAATCTCAAAGAATCAACTATCTACTTGAGTTTCCTTTTTGTATTTAGACATGGAATAAGTACTTGTTTGACTGCAGTTTGACGAAATCTTGTAACTCTTAATTGATATTCCGCTGTCAGTAAGGCCACTCTATGCTAAAAAGATGGGAAGTTCTGTAGAGATGTTTCATCTTTGCCAGGAATCATCACCAATGCGTACTTCTGAAACGCGGAGAGCTTACAAACCTCAATCTTCTGGTCAGTGATTGAACCGCTTGGCTACAAGCGGCTGATCAACAGTGTGATTAACTCTTTATTAGGCAGGATATAGCGCCACCTACCCTTCAAACACGGAAATCATACCACCTGGTCACGTATTGACTGCCTCCTCAACCGATGACTTCTCAGATGGAAGTTTCACTCATTTTGTGGAAATATTCTCCCTTCGATCATTGTGTAGCGAAGCGGTGTGTTCAAAGTGTGGCTATTGGTGTCTGCACTAAATTCATCTACGTGTGAACTGCTGACTGTGCATGAGCTTTGTTTCTGATTGGTTGTTTGCGTTTTCAGTGACACTGGTCAGCTGATCGGTTGACTTTCCTGAGACCCTGCCTTACTGACCTATGGGCAATAGAAAAAGTATCAAGGTTTTTGAACAGTGCTTTAAAAAACAAAACATGAGTGTTATTGATCAACGGCCATGGAGAACTACGAAGTAAGCTATCACCATTATTTTGAAATCAGTTTTCAAATCATGAAGAGGAATCCCAGAATCAATAATTACTTCCAAATTCGCATAAGATTTGCCATTTTCGAAATACGGTAAGGGGCAAGGAGTTTCTGCCACCGCAATTAAATTAAATTAAGAATCGAAGGATACCCTTTCTTGTGAACACGTAACAATTTCAAAATTGATATCTCGTTGGCACTTTTGCTCGAACAGACCCTCTTCCGTTTTGGCGCGACGAGCAACTCGGTGTCAATGTGGACACACACGGGTGAGTTCTGTTCTTAGTGGGGCTCAGGCGTATCCTCCTCAAAAGGTTTGATGTACAACGCAAACGCTTCACAACCAGTCCAATTACGAACTTTGGATCCAGTTGGGTGTGAACCCAAGTTAACGACTGCACCAGGATTAGTGGAGGTTCGTGAAACCTAACTGAAGGTCAATAAAAGCCTCTGTGACGCATCATCCCATGTAGCATGTCTGACTCACCAGTGGATCCAAATGAACCTGAGAGCATCAAAAGTTACGAAAAAAGCGAGTGTCCAGAAATATAACAGAGTTTTTCGGTTGCAAGGTGTGGTTTTCATGTCTTAAGGAGAACGCTCAAATGATGAAAAATCCACCACTAATGTTGCTGTTTGGCAGTTTCTTCTGAGGAAAGGAGAGTACCAAAAACGGTATCAATAAGTGATTCGTCTGTTTTTATATACGGTACCGTGACATGGCAAAGTTTATGCTGAAACTCTGCATTTCCGCGAAAGATAATTATTCATACGCCATCACTTTCGTACAGCACTATCACATATAGTGCCCTTGTTCAGCTGGGTTTAGGCATTTAATGATGCAGCTACCTTTGGCCGGTAAAGTCTCCATGGATGCAATATTTTACGAGAAACTAAGACAACTGTTTGGCATCCAGATGTTAGATTTTACCACGTCCACTATGAAACATTCGTGGCTTTTTTCGTTTTGGTTTGAAGTACCAAAGAACTTATGATTCTACTAGTAGTTTTAGAGTAGTTGGTATCGATCTGATGAATCTCGATAGGAGGGAAGTCTCACCCTTTTCGTAAAGGAAACTACTCACAAGGTTGCTGAAAACTCTTCGACAGCCACAACCGGGTTGGCCCTTCTTGGGGCTCATCAGGTAGGCGCAGTCCCCGAGTTTCCGACAACCTTATGTTCTCATCATCATCATCACCATCATCATCATCATCATCGAGAGCATGACATCAGTGTCCAAAATCGGTGCTTCACTGCCGTAAAGATGTGGCATGAGTTTATTTGTGTATGTGCAGTTCACGGTTGTACGTGGGCTGGGATACTGCCAGGGCGCCCACACCTAGACAGGAGGACGATTAGGGTCCTCAACCAAAGCCTTTGGCTCGAAAAGCCTAACCGCAAGGTAGCGGTGTTTGGNGAGACTCTGCGAGTGTCGCGGGACACTCTCCAGTATGGCTCAATGGATCGCTGAGGTGCGCAAACCGTCACACCACGGTAAAGTCCAGTCTCTTCGTGTGCTACTTGAACCCAAATTGGACTGTTTTCGAGAAATACACTCATTTGCAAATCAATTTGGTTTTCACGAGAGACTCAACTGAATCTCTTGTTTGTGATATTCCACAACTGAATGTGCTACACACAGGCTGCACAATGGTGCCCATCTACGCGATGTTTTTCATCCTGGTTAGTGAACCAATCCTGTCCGCTTGTGTCTTTGGTTCATTGTTTTTGTAAGGATGGTAAACCCACGAATCAAGGTCTCCTCTGTTTTTTTCGGACATGTTTTCCGGTTATTTTGAGGCTTTTCAAGTAGTCCGTCATGTGGCTTGACATAAGCTAATATAATTGCCAGTCATTTGGAGCACTGTCAGTGTGACCTTCGATAAAATCAGGTTGTTTAGTGTTTTGCCGATCTGTCTATTATCTTAACAAAGATTAAAAACTTGTTAACTATCTCCACTTAATCCAAGTGTAGCTATAGCCACAACAGTTTGTTCAACTCACTGCCTACTATGTCTATTTTTACACAAAAATGATCGCCGATCTCTGTCATTAGAAAAAATTTTTGGGTAATATTTGTCATTATCCTGTGTAATCATCGACCACAATCAGTGGAATTATGGATTTTCGATCACGTGATCCAAGTGAGTCATGAAACTTTCTTCCACCATTTCACTACCATGCTCAGTGAACAAAATGCCCATCAGCTGATAAGTATTGATTGCGAGGCGGAATAGAGTTCCATAGACGGTTTTCTGTCGAAGTCATTGCCAATGAATCCATCGTCATATTACCTCTCTAAAAGAATGGCCTTACCTTTGGGAAATACATCGTACCCATGTAATCAATTCTGTATTTGTTCACCTTTAAATACAATTTTTTAGTGGAAGAAACTTTTCACTTCCTGGTACTTTTTCACCTTATATCACCCGGCTGAAAAACCAACGTAACTCGAATGGATAAACTCTGTTCTGAGCTGTTTTTTGGTGAAGACAACCAGTACATTTCTGCTTTGTTTTCTCGACGACTGGACAAAGCTTCCAAACAAAAAATGAGTTAAAACCTTGAAATTTCTAGCACACCTACAAATTTCGAGGCTGGAATCACACCGAAGACCATCGTTTAATGTGAAAATTTATCATTCAGTACGTAGCCCATGTCATTATGCGTCCCCCCGTCTCCGATAATTTTACGGTCGGTTTTTCTTTCATTAGGAATCTACATAGCCTACAGAATTGTCGTTTGTTTTACTGCAACACTTTTTCAGGCATTCTGCCGTTTTTCGAGATGTCAGGCATCACACCGCTACGGAAGTTATGTCCAACGAAGTTTTGGGAATATTGCTTTGTACACTTTGCTCCGTCATCTGTGGTGATGATTTCCATCATATGGACATTTTGAGATTGAAATACTGCAGGAAGCTCCCTAAGGGTGGGTAACTAGAGAGCAGTTGAACAAAATGACGGTGAAAATGTTTCCTGCAAATGTCCTATACCTGGACTCTGGAAACCTGTGTATACCGGAAGGAGACTCATACAGATCAAATCCTGAACTACAACAGTAATCACCCAGTAAACCACAAGAAGAGCTGCGTCCAAACCTTGTTCAAGAGGGCGGAGACACACTGCAGCACCACAGAACTGCGGAAGAAGGAAGAAAACCATCTACTCAGGGTATTCCAGAACAATGGATATCCAAGGAATTTTATCAAGAGAAGCTTGAAGAAGAAAACACCCCAACCACGGCAACAGCAAGAACAAGCCACCAGACGGGTAGTCCTGCCTTACATCAGGAATATATCAGAACTCGCGACCAGATTATTGGCTCAAAAAGGAATATTTGTGGCCCACAAACCGAATGCCACCCTGAGGAAATTAATCTCTAGACCGAAGGACAACCCGGACAAAACCAAGAAGAACAATGTGATATACCAACTCAACTGCAACAACTGCAACAAATTCTACTCGACAAACTGGCAGGAGACTATCCACACGAATAAAGGAACACAACGCGGCCGTCAGGAGGCATGACCCCCTGTCCTTGATATCCATACACGAGGACCAAGAAGGCCACAAATTCAACTTGGAAAACGCAGAAATTTTGGCATACGGACGCACGAGGCACGGAAGAGAATTTCTGGAAGCATGGTACTCGACGGCAAATTCGATCAACCGGTGCGTCGAACTGGACCCAATTTACGCACCCCTACGTGCAAAAGACCAACAAATCAACCGGAAAACCTAAGGAAGGACCGAATATTAAACTCACAAACAACGAAACAAGGAACTCCTTGAAGGCAAATCAATAAAGGTCACTCTAGCATCGACCAGATTACGACGGCAGGGGATGCCAAGCTCAAAGGTCACGTGGGCATTGGCGAATGGGGACACAGGACAACGGAGCAACCAATGGAATCGCCCGACCGAACAACTAATCGCGACCAAAGGTCATCCCCTGCTAGCAGCACGTATATTAACACACGCACAACACTACCCAACGCACAACCACCAACCCACCGCTACGCACTACTACGCACCACAATAACGCACTGATGATGTCACCTCGATTGGTGATGAAACGTTTGCAATCGAATTGCCCAGCTCAGCGAATTTGGAAGGTTGTGTGTGCCGACGGTGTCGCATAGTAAATTTGCGAGCCTGTACGGAATTGAGCACAATAACTTTCATACTTCGCCAGTTGTCACTGAGTTGGAGCAAAAAGGCGCAAAATCAAATAACTCACCTTCTTGCACTGGAAAAGAGACATGAGCTGCCGTCACATGTAATTCAAAGTTTGGATTCCTGCATGTAGAACGCCATCGCACCAGATTGAATGCAAACGATGAGAGGACACTCCTTGGTTGAAAATGAGATGGGTCGTTTTGAAATCAGCCAACAACCTAGAGTGGAGTGTGGCTTTTAGTTCGTTTAGCATGTGATAACTGTGGAGTTGGACGTTAATCGATGTCGGCAAAGTAAGTCTTGAGCCAAACAAAACTAGGACCCCACAGAAAACATCCAAACTTACGGAGTAACCACAACGCAGCAGAAATAACAGACGGACCAGTAGGTTCCCCAAGTAGCCAATCATGTCAGGAGAGAATAGATAGTCTTCAAATGTTATGTAAGCGCACGCAGTCGCTTAAGAAGTACCCACCCACCGGCGCACTGATGATTTCTCCTCGCATGGTGACGAAACGTGTGCTCGACAACAGATCAATAGCCACCTGATCAACAACCAATAACCTCGAAATAATTAAATGAACCTCAGTGTGTCTCTCACAACATCCCCGCTGAGTCATCGTAGTTTAAGTTCAGTGTTAACGGTTCAGAATAAACTGAATCCAGTCTTTGTTTCACACAGGTTCGGAAAGCAATCGGTGGATTTATTGCTGGGCAACGTTTCGCTTCTAACACAAAATCTTCGCCAGGCTGAGTGATTAGGCTACCAGGTTGATTGGGTCTTAAGGCAGTCAGAGAACCGATACGTGAGATTTCTTGTGACTAGCGAACTTGATTAAGGCTGAGCGTCGGTCTGGAATTCCTGTTTGTTTTTAATTGGAATGACTAAAACTTATGACAGATTGCTTAGGAGGGGATGTCTTCATGTTGAATCTGGATTATGCAGCCTTAATTTTCCGGCCTGGGTCACGTTGGTGGAATACTCCTCTTAGTTCGCAGATTTCGTTCATCTGTGTGCGTCGGGGAATGCCAGAACAATTGGTGGCTACCCTGCTTTGGATCTAGTCTTGTTTAGTGAGCTTCGTATGATATTGGGTGGAAACGGGTGTGAGAGCAATGCAGAAAGAGATGGCGGTCGAAGGAGAACCATTCTAGTACCAGAATCACTTGTCTTCAACGTTGTTCCAGAAACTCCCCCCTAGGCAAAGGATATGCAATACGGCGGTGTAAATTTTGTGGAAAAGGCCTATACGAAGAAATAAACGGAAACAAATAACAAATATCAAAACATCGTGATGGCGTAAACAAATCGATCGGTTTGTTGTGCGCGAAAATATCTCTGCTTTTGATTTGTACTTCGTTCATTTACGGCCTTTTTGCGACAAACGTCAAATGCAGTCTTCCTCTTTCGCACTTTACAGATCGATGCCCCTACCACTAAGTATTTTTTCATAGTAAATTTTCCCTTCATTTTCCGTAACGTCACCAAAAAATTTCTCCCTAATTTTTGCTTCCAAACGAGTAAGATGCTGGGATCGCGCGAACCAGAGCTTGTACCACTCTGAAAAGTAGCTTCTAGAAACAGCGTTGCATGTGTTTGGCTCGGGGTGCCACGTTCTTTAAGGTAGGCAAGAGACGGAGACGGACTTCCTCCAAGTGTAGGAATGAGGCATCATTAACCGTTCCTTGAAGTAGTTGCAATGTAATACTTTTCATCTGTAGACTCCTAACGAATAAGAGTAGTTTTTTTCTCGACAAAACACGCTAATCATAAGGCTGCCGTAAACTCTCCGACAGCTCATTACCGGTTTCACTCATCTTCAGGAATATCATTTGGGCTTATGCGGTTAACCGTAATGTCTAATCAGAAATGGGTCGGAAGAATTCATTGGACCGTTCATAGAAAATAAAATCCGGGACCACTTCTTAGAGAATTCCTCCAGATTAAGCAAGGCATATACGACTGCGAAGTGATGAGGGCATTGGTCGGTGTTTAACCGTTTAGGAGACTTGACATTTCGTTGTAAACTTGGGAGAGTATGGCGGGGGGGGGGGAATCTAGCATTTTTTTATCGGATTCGCAGGGATAGACTCACTAACAAGACGACCGATTCGTGAGCTGTGCAGAAATACTGGCTCCTTTGTCACCTATTTAAACACTCACCTGATAGCCACTGAGTTCACTTATCAGGTTGTGCTCAAAGCTTCGATTAGGAAAGACTAGATGCTAACGATTAGTGGATGATCTCGGACTATGCTAGCTTTGTACACAGGATAGGTTGACAAAAACCCACCCTAAAATACGAATTTTTATGTGCCAACATTCTCAGTACCTGAAAGCTGACCCAGACATTTCACCGGATACAGTCCTCCAATAGGCCCGTTTTGCGGAGTTTAGAAGATTCAAACTTGATGCACCAAACGTTTGCAATGTGGTTGAAATAAATCGTGCTAAAAATACGCTATCCATAATGATCATAGTAGAATTTGTTCCATGACGAATAGGCTGGGGAGAAATCTTTAAGTCTTGTCTTGCTTTCATTATGCCAAGATATTGCCCACAAGATATTGCCTCGAATCCACAATACAAGGACTATATGGAGATTAGTCGATGTTGAGTGACAAGTAATTTATATGGTCAAATTTGCTAGGATCGGTCACAGTGAGTTGTTCGAGAATATCAAACATACTTGAATGAAGCGTTTTGGTTGCAGCAGCTGAAATGAGATGAGGAGATTAGTTGAGATTGTACGACAATCTGGGTATAATTTTTGACTAATGATTATTAGGGTTGTGGACCACAGTCTCCTTAATGCCTTCTTATTACCGTGAACCCCGGTCTGGATAGCCACGTGATCGCCTGGTGCGCTTGGCCAAACCAGAAAAGTCAACGAATATGCAAGCCAGCTGCTCTATTGATCACTGTCTCTTACAAGCGGGTCATAAAAGTGATACTGAGAATACAACTTATCTGTCAAGTGCGAGTGAGGAACAACCAATGGAATCTGTCTCGACGAAAAACGGTTATTCTATTGGCAGTCTTTTTTGGAGCTTTTTCTCCTAATAATTAGAACAGTGTAAGATAGCACAGAAACTGAAATTATATAATATGGTTATAATAAGTGGTATACCATATTATGACATTATAGTATAGTGTAGTAGAGTACAGCGTAGTATAATACAGTATAGTATAGTATTGTATGGCACAGAACAGTATGGTATAATTTCGTAAAGTATAGTGCGTTATATTATAATACAGTATAGTGTTGTGTGGTGTGTAATAATATAGCACAGTAGAATAGAGTAGAGTAGAATATAGCATAGTGTAGCATAGTGTGGCAGAGTATAGCATTGTATAATATAGTGTATTACGGTATAGCATAATCTGTGTATTACCATATAGATAGGGTGGATTTTTGGTTTGTTGATCGAGTAGAGGTTGATCTCTTCGTCGAGTAGGTAGTTCCCCTTACCTGCATGCGTTTACATAAGTTTTGAAGTGTATCTGCTATTTCTTGATGTGATTTCGAGGCATTCTCTTAGTGGGTTCAGTAGGCCGTTTTTGATTTTTTTTTACAATGTGACCCGTCTCCCTACTACATATTTTGTTATCCACATACCCTCAATTTGTTTGAAGTTTTCTTTATTACTTACATTGGTTCGTCCTCGAGTTGCGTTGCGCCGTGTTCTGATCTTTTCGAGATTAGGTGATTGGTCGCGCCACCCTGTATCAACTATTGAGACGATGGCTTCTTTGAGTCCACTGGTTAATTGGGCGCTTCTGTTTTCATGGTTGAGTGTAGTCCAATCACGTTTAGACCCTCGTGGGAATTGAATTGTTTTGATTCTTACGTGTGGTGTTCACTCAGTTTCTTCTGCCGTTTTATACCCCACACCCGTGGCTTTCCTTTGTACTTGGTGGTTTATAAAATGCGTGAGTTGTCCGTTGCTGGCGGACTTAGGCGCTCCAAAGAATTTTACCTCGTTCATTGTTCCTACTTTGCTTCCGTAAGTCCTTCCTGACGTTTGTGCACGAGGATGGTGGAAAGTGTATTGTGCCTATTTTTATGGATTCTGGCGAAAACTCTTCACCCTGTTTGTTCAATCTAGGGTCTGCCGCACCCTTTCATTGGATCGTGTCTTTGACATTGTAACCCGTCATTATAACCGGCTTTCCCTTTGAGTCCAATAATATCTTTCGTAAGGTGCTCGCAGCTATGTGAGGAACGCTTGACTTGAATGACTGGTGGTCAGTTTAGCGGTATTTTTGATGCGCGGCTGGGTGGCTCGTTGGTTTCTTCCTTGTGCTGAGGTGTCGATAGTTTTCGTAATTTTACTCGTGGATCCTGCAGTTTTCCAGGGTGACTCAATTTGTTCAAAAACTGTCCGTTGATGGTTTGTTTCTCTACTCCTCATCCCGCAGCTGCCTGTGTGATGCAGTACACCAAAAGTGCCAGTTTTCAGTTGTCTTCCGCTTTCATTGTGAATCGGATGTTTACACGTTATTCACTATCTACCCTACTCGCAGCATTTCGTGCCATCTGATGATGTGAAACTTGTTGTCCATATTTTAGAATTGTTACGGGGATAATCTATTTGTCTCAGGTGTTATACCGTCATTTCCTTGGGAAATCCTGTGTTGCCCGCTGGTAGTTGTTTGTAACCTCAAAGTTAGAATATAAGGCCCAGTGCCAGTCCAGTAATTTCCAAGAGATTTGCCAGGTCCAACCGACGGCCCACCAACCACCAGAACCAGTAACCCTGCATATAGCAGTGGGGTGTGGAGTAATATAGTGTGGTCAGGTGTTTTACCTTCAATGTCCTAAAGGAGGGATTAGTATATTTTCGCTGAGATATTTGACTAAGGTTGCTCTGGCGACCGATTTTTACTGGCTTGTACATTTCCGCACTCGGGAGATACTGAGTTGCCGCATCGTGAATTTTCTCCATACGTTTGATTGTCAGCGTCACTCCGGACTCCAGAAAGGGATAGAACGACCTTGTGTATGTACCGCCGCAAAAAACAGCGATGGCATTTTCATACTTGATAGTTTTCGGTTTCAAGCTGTCGTGATTGAACCAATAATTATAAGTAAACAGGAACAATTCTGCACTCACCACCTCCTGTCATGAGTAGGATATCTACAACATATTGGCAACAAATAAAATCAGAAAACCAGGATGGATGCTCACAAATCTTTTATGAATTTGACTTCAGATAGCTTGAGACCATGAGTGAATGTATGAATACAAGCCTTGACCTGTTGCAAAACCAACTATGAAGGCCGAAAAGATGTTGAAATATGGAATGTAGATGTGACGAGTCGGTCTGCGTTCCACGTAGTTGACCACTCAAGGGGTTATTTTGGTAAGCTCGAGGTTATATCTCAGTACGCACCTCTGAATGGCCTCATTTGTTTCTTGTGCTTTTTTCTACAAGCTTTTCTCATAGTTGATTGGATTGTAAGAGAAGGAAAATCGAATCAGTTACGTAGCTTTCACTGAAAAAAAAGCCAAGACCATTATAAGGTTGTTCCTTGTGTTGGCTAGCAATAACTGTTGAAGAAGCGCGAAGTCTAATCTCTGTAAATCGGAATTAATGCAACTGGTTAACTTTGCCACGATTGACATAAGCAAAAAGGCGTTATAGAGCAACATTCCTGGTCAAAGAATAAATCGCTATATTTAGACGACAAAGAACACAATGTTGGATCATTCGCTGCGGAGAANTTGACCACTCAAGGGGTTATTTTGGTAAGCTCGAGGTTATATCTCAGTACGCACCTCTGAACGGCCTCATTTGTTTTTTGTGCTTTTTTCTACAAAATTCTCTCATAGTTGATTGGATTATAAGAGAAGGAAAATCGAATCAGTTACGTAGCTTTCACTGAAAAAAAAGCCAAGACCATTATAAGGTTGTTCCTTGTGTTGGCTAGCAATAACTGTTGAAGAAGCGCGAAGTCTAATCTCTGTAAATCGGAATTAATGCAACTGGTTAACTTTGCCACGATTGACATAAGCAAAAAGGCGTTATAGAGCAACATTCCTGGTCAAAGAATAAATCGCTATATTTAGACGACAAAGAACACAATGTTGGATCATTCGCTGTGGAGAATGCTGGTTGAAAAGTTCTGTGTGAATACTGATAAACACTGGATCCTGTTCAAGCGACAACCGAAGGATTTGGAGATAACAGAACCCTTACTAGTGCTTGCGTTTGCATGAATTTGGAGCCCCAAGTCCTCATGGGACCGTCTGTCAGAGGAAAACTGGCCGTTTTTTGATCGTCAAACTTTGCTGGACAGTGAGTAAGAAAGCTTCTTCAGTGAAACCCCCAAAATCTCTGAGAGATTCAAGACCGCCGCCTTTTGTACAAAACCTCGCACATAAATTTGGAGTTCGAATGTCCTAGTCGTTAGTATAGCTGGTGAAGCCGATGCATGCTGAAAAGCCGAGAAGCACTGTATACAGCTGTTTCATCCTTATTGGGAATCATCCGTAGTGCGCATCTCACGAAACTCCGGAGAGTCTCGAACCCGCGACCTCCTGGCTAGTAGTTTAACACCTAACCGTTCTGCTGATCAGCAGTGTGATTAACTTGAACTCCCAATAAGAATGGAATCGCTGTACACAGTACTTCTCGGCTTTTCAGCATAGATTGGTTTCACTTAGAGGACGAAATCTCCAAAAAACATCCCAAATCTCTTTACATTACCGACAATCTATAAGTAGCTCAGTGAAAGAATAAACTTCACCCGATTTTTGAAACTTCTATCTGAGAAGTCGCTGCTCGAGGAGCCAGTCAACACGTGTGACCGTATGAGGTGAGGATGAGCGGCGCTATATCCTGCCTAAGTGCGAGTTAATCACACTGTTGATCGTCTGCTCGTGGCCGAATGATTAAGTGTTCAAACTACTAGCCAGGAGGTCGCGGGTTCGAGACTCTCTGGAGTTCCGTGAGATGTGCACTGCTGATGAGTCCACAAACATCCCAAATCTCCTCACTCTACCAACAAAGCTGTTGGTCTCAAAAGGAAAAGCGTCACCACTTGCAGACTGTCCTCTTGTGGGCCAACATTGAACTGTGGCATTTTATTGATGAAGCGGACACACACCTGTGGAAAGTGAATGTAACGACTAAAGCCTGGTTCATACGACCAGGCGAGTTGCTTATCAGATTTACGTGCAACTGTTCAGTAGTCGCATGCATTCTCAGTAGCCTGCACACACCATTAGTGGACAAACATTGTCGACAGATCCACAAGGGTTACTTTGTGAGGCCACTTTAGTACCACGATTGAAGGACAGATTTTGGTGGATTCTGAGTTGCCTGTCATGACTTGTATCATCATCACAAGTAAACATATGCGGGAAAACCGATTTGATATACTTTATCTGACTACATCTCATAAAAATAAAAAGCCAAAAATGATATTGGCTCCGTCAAGGGAAATTGTTTGTACTGCACACTGCGCATCAGAATTGTTTGGACCAGTTCTGCTCCCTCAAGAGTAGTTCACTAACGGCGCTTGGCTGGGTAAAAGTATAAGCTACAAAGATCCAGACACAAGGCAACAGACGCACCAGATAGCCTCAACCGGCACATTGGTGGAGTGTCCAACCATGCCCATGCCTATTGACATCAGTCTTACTAGAGCCGTAGGTCTGAGAGATGGTTGCGTCCGATCCGATCAAACCAGAGTAGCTTAGAATTGAGATATCGTACTGTAAGTGAAGTCAGTCTGTGCGGAAAAGCCGAGAAGCACAGTGCTTCTGCACTGTGCTTCACACACAAAATATCCAAATCTCCTCACACTACCAACAATATACAAGTTGCTCAGTGGAAGAATTCAACTTCACCCGATGAGTGAAACTTCCCTCTGGGAAGTCGTTCCTCGAGGAGCCAGTCAACACGTGTGACCGGGTGATGTGGATCTCGTGATTGAAGGATGATTGGCGCTGTAACCTCTCTGAGTGCGAGTTAATCACACTGCTGATCAGCCACTCGTAGCCGAATGTCTGTGTTCATACTATTAGCCAGGAGGTCGCGGATTCTATACTCTCTGGAGTTTCGTGAGATGCGCACTGCTGATGATTCTCAACAAGGATAAGACATTTGAACAGTGCTTCTCGGCCCTCGTAAATCTTCTTCGCGTCTTTTGAAAAGTCAGTTGCGTTACGGGATTTGTGGAATTGCTATGCGGCATTCGATTATGTGTGAGTACTAGTCAATGAATATCCAGAAAAGTTCAGGAAGGCGCGTTCAAAGAGAGGATGGATAACCAGTTTTTGTAAACAAGATGCATGAGAGTTTTGCTTCCCTGCCCAATAGTCTGTAACTGTTCAGTTGGCACTTTCTAACAAGTAACTCCGCAGCGAAGGCCTTCTTCCTTTCACCAGTTAATCTTAATCTGTTTGAATGACACTGTGATGGAATAATTTATAAGGAAAAACAGAAAGAATTGTCAACCTGCGTTGAAGGCCTTCTCCTTTCACCAGTTAATCTTAATCTGTTTGAATGACACTGTGATGGAATAATTTATAAGGAAAAACAGAAAGAATTGTCAACCTGCGTTCATTTGCAAATTACGAGTAGTATGGTGTATCAAAAATACAAGCACACATAATAAATGGAAACGAGATTGGCTCATTCCCCTTAGGACGGGGTCGCTTCAAAGATGGTACACTTTAGAGCTCGAACCAAGATGAATGACGTAAGTGTTAA